TGTGTTTTAGATAATTAGGATTGGGTAATAAAAATTAGCATATTTGTGAATTTAATAGCATTAAGATTACTTTCAAATGAAAAAGATCTCAAAAGTTCCTATTTGGTTTTTGTGCATTTTCTTTCGAAATGTAATCATGATTTTAGTATGTTAGAGTCCTAGCCGTGTTAAGAACATCTCCATTCCACATTTACCTTGATCACATTGAAACTGCTGCCAATAGTTTGGGGTATAAAGTGTTTACACTGCCCTCTACTAAAGGGTGGTGGATGTATTTCATCTCCCAGTTTAACAGTCTCTTTAATACAGGACCACTAAGTCTGCTGTGTCTGAGCAAACTGGTGGATGCCTGGTCTGTTCTGCTTTTTAAAATTCCAAGTCCCAAGCACATTGACCTAGTCACTTCCTTGGTTTAGTCTCCCGCTACACACAGCTTTTCAGGGCACAGGAATAAAAGTCACTCATTTGAACCCCTCACTGGCTGGCATGCTTTTCTGTTTATACCCTATACATTTTGCTGGATGATGAAGCCAAGGATAGTTAAGGTGTCACTGTCCAAAACAAAGCAGCAGAAAATGTAGCATAGTTACTTAGTATAAGCACCTCACTTCCCAAAGGTCTGAATTCAAATTTGGATAGCCCTGAATGCTTAAATCCCCAAAGGACACACGGTTATTCTTTGTATATATTCCATCCTAAAACAAGTTGGTGTTTGTTCAGAGACCCTGGTTGAGGAGAGTTCTAGATACTGAGGTCATATATATGAAAAATGTCTACTGTTGCGCCCGCCAGCTAGTGATTAACAACTTCATTCAAGCCCTAAGTGTGTGCTCTGCTGTTGCTTTCTTTGGCAGTTGAACATTGAATTCAAATTTTTACTTGGTTTTTGAAGTACAAGCAAAACAAGCAATAAAACGGGGAATGGGACATGCTAGTGTTTGAATATGCTCTCTTGTTGCTCTAATTCTGTGCCTCTGTGCATTATTAATATTTGGATGCATGCAATGCTAGCATGGAACTTTGGTCTTCACAAATACTGCAGTTTTTCCAGAAAACATTCACAAACCAATAAATGTAACAGACAACATTCCATTTGTTAATGGGCATATGTGAATAAGCAGTGTAGAAAATAGGCTCATGTTAGAAAATGGTTACATCTTTCATAACTAAAGTGTGGTTATATAAATGGACACTGTCAATGTTCATAGTTTAAACCTGGGTACCTGGTCAAAATGCTTAGGAAATATTAAAACTGAGCTAAATTGTCTCAAGTCCTTTTATTCATATAATAAAGATTGAAAGAATTGGGGAGGTAACATTTCTGGTTTTGTTTGTAAAATTGTTGGACACAACCTTGACAGTATCCTTTAATGTTATGAGGTCAATTGTATTGTTAACCAACTTTTTATGTTCTGGAATGGTACAATAGTGAAACATTTTTCAGTAAGTTGATGTTTACAACCTATAATCAGGTGAAATCTGTATGTGACCTGTTTATAAGTTGTACTGGGTTAGCTTTTGTGAACAGTGTGGAAAAGTAAGCCATGAGCGATTTAACCAGCTTTAAAAGGACCTAAGTTGTGCTATTTAAGCACTACTGGATCAAAGGAAACCCACTAAGACAGGACTTCAGCAGCCTTTTGTGTATGGACAAGTCAGCATAAATAAAGAATGAGAAGGCAGCCCCAGCAAGAGCTTCAACTACAGAGAAGTGGAGGCATAAGATTCTATGGTGATGATAGTGAGCAGCATTCCAAAAGCTAGTTAAATCTGCTTATTGCAACTGAAATGTCGAAGAAAGTAGCAGGAAGGAGCTCCGCCTTTTGGAACATCAATGAGATAGTTGCCACAGTCACTAGGTCTAGCATTTAGACCTGCAAGGAAGGGCAATAAGCTAGGTAAGGCTTGACTTTGAATTTTTTCACTAATTAAAGAGTACTTTTTTGTAAAGCAAGGTAAGAGTAATCTTTTTGATTTGCAGGTGAATGAGAAAACCCTACTTGCCTAAATGAGGAATGTCTTTCCTACCATCTTAAATACGAAGGTTTCTGGCTGGGTAAGGTTTGTAGCTCACAGTAAAGCCTGATGACATCATTGGTTTCCCTACAAATCAATGCCACAGTTTGAAACATTACCCCCATTAGTAGGTACATTGGCAGAATTGTTGAGCTCAGTTTTATTTTGGGTACCCTGTTGAACAAGTTCTAAGACTTCAGGTGGTCGCATTCTACAGTGACCATGGGTATTTATCATGAGCCAGGTGTGGTCTTTTCATGTGTGTACAAACCCCACTCACTGTTAGCATCTGTGGTAAAATCAGCTTTCCGTAAGGGAAAGAAAGTCATGTTGGCTGTTCAGAAAAGTTTCCAATAAGCTGTTAGTTCCCACCCTTGGGAAAATGGGGATCTTTTACAATTACCAGCATAATCGTCTTCCTCAAAGTTCTCTTGCATATCAGTTCATGACTATGGATCAGTAGGAAGAGTCAGTTTTTAGTTGTGTCTGTCCATTTCCTCATCCCCTAAATACACACAGGGTTTCACTATTGTCCTGACCTGGAACTCAGTCCACCTGCCTTTCTCCCAAATGCTGGGATGATTAAAGGGTGGTGCCTAATTGTCACTCATGCTCCTTAAAAAAAAAAATCCAAAGAACAGTTGAGTTACTATTCAAATAGGTTGCTGATTGTTCATAAGGGCTAATTTTTGCTGCCTTGAAAGGGCTTTGAAAATTGCTTAATTCAGGTTACTTTTTAATATATTCTCAGAGGAGAAGTTTGCAAAATACTGGTTACTAAGTTAGAGATCTTGTTTTCCATACAGGGATGCCCTACATGATTTGCTTGGCATTTCAGTCAGGACTGAATTTACACAAACTATAGTTACTAATAAGTAAGGTAGCAGTCTTTCAATGGTGATTCCTTCTTCATACAGATTTGGAGAACTGCATTTTTTAACAGGCATTTACATTTCATTTCCTTTCTGAAATAAAATGATTTTACTTAATGTGCTTCCACTGTCGTTTCTGCAAAAACATTTTACATACAAAAGGTGGCTGTGCAAAACAGGAAACAATTGAGGGTGACTGATTTTGTTTGACCTGTAGGATACTGCTCCCAGTTTACATGTCAAAAAACTGCATTCACACTTGTGTTGAAGAAAATCATCTGGTGGGGCTGCAGAGAAATGGGCTTGGTTTTTGAGGGTTCTATTATGTTATAATCCAAAACACTTAAAAGGTATCCGTAATTGGCATGGCAAGAGGGTAAGCATGGGGATATCTGGGGTAATGTGAGAACTGGTAGTCCATCCAAGTACTCAGTTTTAAGCGTGATTTACGACAGCAGAGGTGGTCTGTACTGGATTCAATTGTTTCATTTGTAGTATAATGAAATGTTACAGAGATGACTTTTTCATTAAAATATTTTTAGAAACGTGTGTGTCGTTTTTATCACCTTGGAATAATCCTTTGTCCTATTTGAATATAGACTAACAAAATGAGGTTTGGGGTGAACCTTGATACAGTTAAGCTTGTTTTGAAAGATGGGATAGAAACAAATATACTGCCACACTACAAGGGCAACATGGGATAATTGGTGTATGTGGAATTGACAGACATTTTGGGTAGTGGGTGAGATAATTAGACAAGTGAAATCAAAGGCTGGGCAAAAATGAGTGTGTCCACGTGTGATAACTTTGAAGGTAAATAAGGAAAAGTGTCTGAGGGTAGTCCTGATCTATACTGCAGGTTCCCCCAAGACAGGTGGGTATTCGTTTGGTAACATTGGGTTCTGAGTTCTAAACCCAGGCCCACTGATGGTTCCGCAGCTTCCTGAGTCCTGGGTCTGTGAAGAGGCCTAGCCACACGCTTGAAAGTAAGTTACTTTGTAAGTAGATTCCAGGTAAGGGTTCTTATTTCTAAACTTGCTTTACATACTGATTTGTGTAAGTAGCAACCACACACTACCATAGTAAGTCCTGGCCTGGATTTTCACCAAAATATATACTTTACTAATCGGGATGGAAATAGCTATGAAGTGCCAGATACAAAGTTAACCTCTGATACTTGCCTAGCATGCCTAAGGTCCTGGGTTCAACCTCTTCCCCTGTTCACAAACCTGCTAAACAGGAAACCCATAATGTGCTTAAGCCTATTACACTTTAGCAAGATCAGGATCCTGTTAAGCAGTAAGTTGGCATAACTTTAGGTTGACTAAAGATTGGAGGAAGTACCAATTTTGGCTGTCACATTAAAAAAACAGGCAATGGTAGGGATGTGTTAACTGCATGTTCAGAGCCCCAGTTCCAGGAACTAGAAGGTAAGCATATGTCCATCCTATTTAGACTTTAGAGACTACCAGTGAACAGATTCAAAGTCAAGAATTTTGAGCTTTAAAATCTGATCACACCTGTTACCAGCGGGAGGCAGAGGCAGATGGATCTTGAAATGCCAAATATATTAAATAATTTTTATGGCATAACTTTTTTTTGTGTAGCCATTGCAGAACCAAGCCCTTGTCCTCTGTAAGAGCAGCAGGTGCCTTTAACAGCTGAACCGTCTCTAGCCCCCTTACATCGCAATTTTTAATGGCTTAAAATAGTTGGCCTTGTATGGAGGTTATAATGGGTAGCCTTATAGACATTGTATTTTCCTGTGTGGTAAATGGAGACATCCTTCAAGCATCAGGTTACCTGCTATGAATTAATTTTAGCTGTCTTATGTCCTCACTTAATAACAGGATGCAATTAGGTTCTGTTTAGTCTTTAAGCCTTGCCTATCAAGTTTAGAGTGTGAACGTAGTCATGTGGGCTCGGACAATTTACTTGGGTTTTCTGCTTTTCCACCTGTTTGATATTGCCAACAAGAAAGCTTCAAGTGGAGTTTTGGGGTTGAGGTGGCTTGGTGGCTGAGAGTACTTGTTGCTTTTCCAGAGGACCTACATGGGACACATCTCAGCCATCTGTACTTCTAGTCCCGGGAACCCAGTGCCTTTTCTGGTATCAGGCAACGAGTGGTAGGCAGATGAAACACCCATAGACTTTTTTGAATGTTGGCTCGGCTGGGAGTTGTGCATGCCTTTTGATTCTAACAGTTGGGAGATGAGCACATGAGTTTCTCACTTCCAGGAGAGCCAGGATTATACAATGACATGGGGGGAGGGATTTTTATATATTTTTTTTAAAATTGGGCTTGGTTTGTTCAGAGACGGCTTGGTCTGCCTCCATCTTCTGGCCAAAGCATTCCCAAACTGGAGTTATAGCCTTGAACATCTATTTTGACTCAACGTTAAACTGCTTAAACATGGGCAGTTTAAATGTTTATAAAGTATTAATTGGGCTGGAGAGATGGCTTAGAGTTTAAGAACCCTGGCTGCTCTTCAAGAGGTCCTGAGTTCAATTCCCAGTACTCACAGGGTGGCTGACAACTGTTTGATCTATAATGGGGTCTGATACTATCTTCTGGCTCAACAATAGTTAGGTGCTTTATACATTATATCTTTATTTCATTTGGTAGGTCTTAGATCTTTGAGAGTGTTGCCTGAGGATCTTGTGAGTTTCCAATAATCCAGTGATCTAAACTGAAGTCAAAAGCATTGTCAGTGCTGTTGTGAAGAATATTAAAGGAGGCCGGGCGGTGGTGGCGCATGCCTTCAATCCCAGCACTCGGGAGGCAGAGGCAGTCGGATCTTTGTGAGTTCCAGGAAAGGCGCAAAGCTACACAGAGAAACCCTGTATCAAAAAACAAAACAAACAAACAAAAAAAGAATATTAAAGGAAAAGTTACTTTTCATTGTTACCAAAATTAACTTTGATTAAAATATTGAGACCTGTTGAGAAGATGGCCCAGTGCATAAGAGCTCTTGCTTTGCAAGCATGAGGACCTTGCTTTAAATCTCGAGCACAATGTCAAATGCAGGTGTGATCACATGCCCACTGAGGCTTGCTAGCTGCTAGCCTGGCTCCAGATTCAGTGAGGAGACCATGTTTCAAGGGATGGAACGATGAAGGCAGTACACGCAATGTCTTCGGGTCACGTGCATATACACCACAAGGAGATTCCAAGACCCAAATTAATGTTAAGAACTATGCGTGCTATCTGAGGTTAAGTGTGAGAATTGGCTAAAAGGGTGCCTATCTAGAGTGACTTTGGTGATCATTGTAACATATCCGAAGCATACCTAAAGTCTAATGGAGACTAGTTAAGTCAGGATCTTGTTTTTTTCTTTTTTCTTCTTCTAAGAACTGAAGTCAGTTTTCTTGAAGTCTATCAACTGAAACTGCTGGTCTTTATTTTACTTTTTTGTTTTTCAAGACAGAGCCCTGGCTGTCCTGGGGACCAGACTGGCCTCAAACTCAAGAGATCAGCCTGCCTCTTCCTCTGCCTCCCAAGTGCCAGGATTAAAGGCATGCCCTACCAGGCCCTAAACTACTGTCTTTTAAAGTGGGAAGAATATGTTCTTAAAAAAAAATGTAATAAAATTTGAGGCCAACTTTAATCCCAGCACTCAGGAGGCAGAGCCAGGCGGATCTCTGTGAGTTTCAGGCCAGCCTGGTTTACAAAGTAAGTTCCAGAAAAGGTGCAAAACTCCACAGAGAAACGCTGTCTCAAACAAACAAACAAACAAAAAACCTTTATGTGTATGGGTTATTTGCATGCCTGTCTGTGTAACTGGTGCCCACAGAGGCCCGAAGAGGGGGTTGGGTCCCCTGGAACTGCAGTTACAGATGGTTGTGAGCTGCCATGCAGGTGCTGGAATTTAAATCCAGGTCCTCTAGAAGCCACCTTTCCAACTCCTCTATCTGAAATTTTAAACAATTACACAATTACTCAATGTAAATTTAAGTACAGTAAAGTCCTATGTCCTCCAGAGGAGATAGACAGCATGAAAGAGAACTCAAGACCAAGTATCTTAATCCTAGATCCAAGATTCACTTTCAATCAAAAAGATTTTTTTTTTTTTTAGATTTATTTATTATGTATACAATGTTCTGTCTGGAGGCCAGAAGAGGGCACCAGATCTCATTACAGATGGTTGTGAGCCACTATGTGGTTGCTGGGAATTGAACTCAGAACCTCAGGAAGAGCAGCCAATGCTCTTAACCACTGAGCCATCTTTCCAGCCCTTCCCCCCCACTCCACCCCCCCCAAAAAATAAGGTCTGAGGATGAACAAACCATCCATTTACAGATGTTTCCATCACAGATGGGACAAGGCTGAGTGCTAAAGTGAGTAGATGGAGGCCTTTCTCTAGGAAATGACCAGAATAGGGTCAGTCTGGTGCCAGGCAGGGCTGAGAAGGTCATGACTGGTCTCAGTGTACTGGCAGGAACTTGCTCTTGGAGGAGTCGTGCTTATTAACAGGCACATCTCCCAAGTGCATCTCCAGGAACCCCTTCCTCAAATTCCTTATGTAGCCCTGGAACTGCTCAGGCTGGGTCTGAACTTGGGATAATTCTCTCGGGTTCACAGCCATACCTTGCTCCAACTTTAATAAAGGAATAAATAAGCATGAACTACAGTGATTAGATGAAATTGAACTGGTGTTAGTGTTTTTGTTGTAAAGGAACGCACATTTTCAAATTTTAGGAGCTTTGTTTTTATACCCTTCAGATGTCTAATAGGTCTCAACTTGTCTACACATGTGAGCCAGTTTTCCCACCATTAGAATTTTTTCATTCTTGGGTAACTCGATTCCTTGATTTTATTAGAAAATGATGGTGTATACCTTTAATCCCAGATATGAGGAGACAAGGGCAGGCAGATCTCTGAGTTCACAGCCAGCCTGGTCTACAGAGTTCCTGGACAACCAGGGGTACAGAAAAACCCAAAGAAATAAAAAAAAGAAATACAGTTGCATCTATGAACCTCACACTGGTCTCTGGTCCCACTCTTGCCTTCTAGATTGCCCACAACCCGAGGGAATAGGCTCATATCCCACTTCAACCTTAGTGTCTCTTGTGGTGATATTGTGCCCCCCAATATATTGTGCACCCTAATAAACTTATCTGGGATCAGAGAACAGAACAGCCACTAGATAGACATAGAGGCCAGAAAAAAACGGTAGCACACACACCTTTAATCCTATCACTTGGGAGGCAGAGATCTCTCTGGATCTCTGTGACTTTAAGGTCACACTGGAAACAGCCAGGCATGGTGACACACACTTTTAATTCTAGGAAGTGATGGCAGGAAGCAGGAAAGTATATAAGGTGTGAGGACCAGGAACTAGAGGCTTTTAAGCTTTTAGCAGCAGTTCAGCTGAGATCCATTCCGGTAAGGACACAGAAGCTTTCAGTCTGAGGATTGGTGGAAACAGGATCAGATGAGGAGTTGTCAAATTGAGGTTGGCTGTGGCTTGTTCTGCTTCTCTGATATTTCAGCATTCACCCCAATATCTGGCTCTGAGTTTTTTTTTTTTTTTTTTTTAATTAA